CCCCAAAAGGGTCTATATTGACCCCCCAAAAGGGTCTATATTGACCCCCCAAAAGGGTCTATATCTAGAATACTTCAGAATCCTGGACGATACGAATGCTTTTGGGAACCCATAGGTTCACGGAAGAGTGATGCTACACGCACCTGCGTAGATGACTCCTGAGACAACGCTGCGCTCCGCGGGAGGGGCCCACTGGGCGATCATCGCGTGCATGGCGGGGAAGGTGAAACCCTGCGAAACCAACATACATTTTACATTCGTTTAATATGGCTGGCAGCAAGAAATACAATGATTACTATGATATACTGTGACAAACACACCGGCTGGGGGGAGATACCTGGTTGAGGAAAACCCCGCAAGTCGACAGGCAGGTCGGTGCCGGATCTCACAGTCCAGCGGGGCTGAAGTTCGTCGCCACATGCGAGAAAAAACACACACTACGCTTACGGGATTAATGACCTAAGACTCATAGTCCCGATAGTGTAGGGAATTTTTTTTTATCCCGGGAGGTGGTGGTGGTGGTAGTTTTCCCCCACTGGGTGTGATTTTCGGCGCTAACCTACATGTCGACTTGCTGTGGATATCCCCCTCCAGGAACATCCCTTCAATGGGGCACAGTCCCTGATGGGTCAAGTTCTAATCTCCCTACTGATCTCCCGACAAATGTGTTATGTTAAGCAATGGATGAGGATTAGAGAAGGAAGAGGAAGGAAAGATTGCACGCGGTCCGTGACCCGTTTGTTGAGGGCTTCTCCGACATTTGATCGATGTTGATCGGAGAAATCACGGAAAACTACCAATCGAACACAGCCAACTAAACTTCGAACATCGATGACCGTGGATCGAAGCTGCCGACCAGTAGAATTCTTCTCCACACTAGCTGAATTAGGTCTACCTAGATAGATAGTTACTTCGAAAATCCGCCATTGTCGCAGAATTGGTAAGATTGGCATACGAAGAAAGAGAAATGACCGAATAACACCAGTTATTTACGGGTTTGGTTTATTTCTACTTTTATACAAAATGCAGACGTTTCGTAATATATAACAAATTGCTTTTTCAATATTTGTAATAAAATAACGCCTAATCTCACGATAATTAACGCCATTAGACTGATGAGTAAATAACCAACAAAGACCTTTATTTGTGATATAGGCCTTGTGCCTCTCTAATTTTCGTTATTATTATAAAAAATAAGAAATAGCTTTTCTTGGAGTAGGCTTACTCATCCGCCTTCTTCAGCTACAACTTCGTTTCAATTGTTCTGAACGGATTGCGGACTATAAAATATTTAACAGACGCTTAGACTTCAGGAATGGCTTTTAGTTCCCCTGTTTGGATGCATTACGTCGATATAACAGTATGGGGGAAAAGATCAACAAGTCAATTACAAGTTATTATTTTTGCTATGTTTAGCTTTTTCATCATTGAAAAGACAACTTGTTGAAGATTGAAAAAGTGTGTGTATTCTTTATTAGTGGAAATACTCTCCAAACCTTTTAAACTTCAAAACCCGCTATTCGATCATTCATTTGACCTGCTTTATGTTATCTCTTAATAACTCACTCCCTGAGCAAAATAATTATATAATTATAATCAGGGCTTGATTTCTGGCGAAACGCAACGGAACGCCGTTCAGATATCTAGGGGATATTTTTTTTATTAGCCAACTTATTAGACAATTTCATCACATTCCAGGGCAAGGGCCTCCTGCTCGCTTAGTGAATTATTAATCCTTATTAATGAAGGGATAAGAGAATGATGAAGGGTGAAGGGTCGATCACAAATACATGCATGCCCTAGGCAGGATTGGAACCCACGATCCTTCGATGCGGGATCGCCACATCTCGCTTTAGCGTTCTCGGCTATACGGATCTACTTAAATATTATACATGCATACCAATTTCTATTAAACTATTAATTAATTTGGGCGCGTTCCCAGACACGAAATTCTATAAATCAATCGTTGATCTAGGATGGCTCCTGGGCTGTGTACTAGCTTCTTGGTGTGATCCCGGGTTCGATTACCGGTAGGGCTAAAAATAATTAATGGCATTAATTCCGACTAGAAGAAGTTATGCTTATAAGCGAATTCTCTCTCGTGTCATCATTCATAAATGTGTTTTGAGAGAATATTAAAGTTTTATTACTAGCATCTCCTAAAAAAGTGTGCACATTACGTTCAAGGGAGATACCGCATGTTTCATCGCTTTTCCAAAAGATGAATGGAAAAGAGCAAAAGGAAATTAAAAAATCGAAGGTCAACATAAGATAGCCGGCGTGGTTTTACGATGTTTACATGCGCAACGGGTGTGGAAAGCAACTGAATGAGCCATTCAGGTGATGGACGCAGGTGGTTCAGTTTGCTCTCTGGATCGTCCAATGCTCAGTTAGTGATAAAATTTCATTCAACTCCATATACTGACCTTAATGTAAGACGATACTCAACGTACTTTCTCAACATGCCATTAATAAAAACCCACGACATGAAAGTTCCTCGTGTTACTTCACGGAATGACACGCTATTTTATTTTAAAAGTAACTGAAATTATTTTTTTAATTCTAACATTCCAGGATATTTTACAGAGATTTGTGATTTATGAATTTTCGAAATTAATTGATCATACAAAATATACGCTTTGAACAAGATGCCGCATTTGCAGAGGAGAAAGAAAATTTTCCAGGAAGAAAACAAATAAAGGAAGAAATGAAGAGAGGTTAAAGGTAAAAAGAAAAAAGAAGAAAGAGGAAAGTGAAACTAAGAGGAGTGGATGAAAAACAGGAGATAGTGGTGAGCCAGAGGGAATAAAAGGAAAAAGAGGAAAGAAAAGGAGGAGAAGGCGGAATACCATAGGAAGGAAAAGAATGAGAAAAAAAGAGGAGGTCCAGAGGAAAGAAAAGAAGAACGAGGAGGACCAAAGGAAAGAAAAGAAGAAAGAGGAGGACCAGAGGAAAGAAAAGAAGAAAGACAAGGACCAGAGGAAAGAAAAGAAGAAAGACAAGGACCAGAAAATTAGAACAACACTCGAGAAGGATGAGGAGGAGGGTGAGGCGGCGGCGAACTCACCGCGCCGACGCCCTGCAGCACGCGCAGCGCCACGAAGAGCCCGTAGTGCGCGTGGTGGCAGACGGGCGGAGTGAGCGCGCAGCCCACCACGTTGGCCACCACCGCCGCCATCATCACCCACTTGGCGGACAGACGCTCGGCCATGAGCGCGCCGGGCACCTGCGCCACCAGGTAGCCCACGAAGTACGAGCCCAGGATCAGCCCCTGCACCGCCTCGTCCCACGCGAACGGGCCGTCCACCTGCAGACATTCGCAAACACAAGAACTTACAACTGGACAAGTCAGGCATGTGGTCCTAGCAGCCAAGTATGTAGTCGGGATTTGACCAATGGCACTCACCCCGACTCTACTCATCAAGAGCTTCTGGATAAATGACGTCATTTTCGATCAATTTTGACGTGTTTCCCAAGATCCATGGCGCAAATACCGAGATGGTGCCTTGAATTGCCTCTGAGCATGAATGTAGCTTTACTACGTGCACGTTTTGTTGAGCTCTCCATTTGACATGGTAGGACTATAGCCGGAGTTTTGCCTTGCTATTTTATTATAAATAATATAAAATCAGTTCTGGAGTTTATTTACCGATGTAAATACGTTTTTAATGTCTCGAACGCGAACATTTCTTGTTTTTAGTTATTGTTAACCTCGCTTTGTTGGTACTTCCATTTATCATTCAAATATGTGTACTAAAAGGGTGGAGTAAGGATTCTGGAGCTCAACAAAACTGTGTGAAGATTATATATTCTTTTCATAGGGGTGCGCAGTCTAAAAGAAGAGGTGGCAAGAACATTTTTTAGTCCACGCCAAGGGCCTCCTATTCCCCCTTTTAAAATTTTCAGGAGGGGGAGGGAGCCGTCCGGTTTTAACCGTTTTTATTTCGTTTGTGTGTGTGTGTGTGTGTGTGTGTGTGTGTGTGTGTGTGTTTCTGCAAACGAGTCAAATGCAAGAGTAGCGTGGTGCCACGCTCAAAACATACAACAGCGTGGAAATCGGCGAGCACCGCCGGATGTTAAACAAAGGGCGGAGTGATGACGCACTGGGACTTTCAGTGAACGTAGCGGGCCCAGAGCGGCTTTGGGGAGGAGGCAATAATGGCGGCGTGTACCGCCAAAAGGGCCTATATAAGGCCAGGAGAATATGGCCCCAGTCTTCTTGTTCTAGCTGCGTCGGCGACAGGTGAAGCGCGTGTCTGTGCGTGTAGGTGCACTAGGGCAAGGGGCCGGCCATTCATTGTCGTGACTTGCGAGACGTGTAGATGGTCTGAAAGTAGAGCGGCTTCATACAAGGAACATCGGTGGTATGTTGAGGTGTGGTAGCCATTCTTCAATCATCTCGCCTTGTAGTGGATCTATTTTTTTTATTTATTGTGAGCAGGGTAGTTGTTAAATTGAGACTACGGTCTAGATTGTTAATACATCTACTGGTTCACAAACCATTCTCGCATGCGTTCGATTACACCCGTATGACGCCACACAAGCCTCTCACCTCGTGTGCGTGTCCGGGTGGGGCGGGGCAGGCGCCGGCGCCGTCGCCGCCCTCCGCGTGGTCGTCGGCCGCCTCCGCCGCGCGCAGCTGCGCCTGCGCGTAGCGCAGGTGGGTCCCGTTCACCATCGCCACGATCGCCACGCTCAGGTTCACCTTCAGCCCGTAGATGATGGCGAAGCTCACGGCCGCCAGCGCCGTGAACACCACGCGGCTCGGCACGCGCAGCCCTGCCACGGCGCAAACAGCCCACAACGTTAATGCGTATTCATCTATCCCTAGACGGCATTCATCTATCCCTCAACAGCATTCATCTATGCCTAGACAGCATTCATCTATTCTTGTACCATTCATCAGTTATTTGTATTCTTCTATTTTTGTACTATTTATTATTGTATATTTAAGTACATTATTTATATATATATATATATATATATATATATATATATATATATAATTTACATATGGATTGAGCAACATTAAAATAATTTTATTTGAAATACTATTTTAAATATATTTTTTATTTTAAAAACTGTATTTTTGAGTTTTATTTGAACGTGACTTTTGAAGATATATGAAATAGGCGTATTTAATAAAAAATGCTTAAAATACTTTAATAAAATAAAATTCGTGGAAATTATTTTCTAAAGTTCTTGGGACAACTAACCCAGATGTCTATTTCTTTTGTTAACTCTTTAATTTTTTGGTTTAGTTACATACTATATATTATATATTGCAATACATTTCAGCTAATTCTTGTTCAGAAATTTGTATGACTGCCAATTACAAATATATTAAAATTTACAATTACAATATATTGTTGCAATAAAAAAAGAGAATACAGTTGTATTTACTGTACTCTGAGTATTTCAAGTATTTTAAATACGTATGTATTTTGCAAATCAAAACCTAATGTATTTTTTAGTATTATTTAAATGCTTATTTACAAAATTTTTAGGCAAAATATTTAAATACTAAATTTAAAGTATTTTTTCCAACCCTGTTTACGGAAATATCATATGGTGCTTCAGGAAAGCCAGATTAATATTTTAAGAAGCCCTTGGCGACATGAATACATTGGACCCCAAATAACATTAAAATGATGCGAAATCAAAATGAATATTGAACCAAACTAACCTTTGCAATAAAAAATATTATAATACTTTTACATATTTATGAGCTTATATACAACTTGAATTAAAAAAAACAATTGGGTGTCCTATCCAACGGGTACCACGCGTATTTGCTTAACGTTATCTTGCATTACTTCACCTTTGGGTTTCAGTTCATTGAAAGTCTTTGAGTTACAAAATTATTCCTACCTTCTCGGTTGAATATTTATATGAAAAGGGATTTTCTCTACATATAAAATTGATACCGCCTAAAATCACTGCTTCCTTCCTTCCTTCCTTCCGAGAAGGCTATTACCATTTCTATACAAGACGACTATTCTGACTAATCATTGATGTCATGAAAAGATATAGTGGAAGGTTGCTATTGAGTTGAGAACTTTCTTGACAATCCCTTTAATCGCTATACCTGAAGGTCACGCTGGCTTTGAAAAGCAGGGGCATGCTCCATTCTTTGGAAAACAAAATTTACAAAGGAAACCGAATCATGTGTTAGTTTCTTCCGAAGTGTGTGCTCTCTTAACAATTCACATTGGTCCTTTATCCTTAGCCAGGGGCAGTTCACACATATTCAAAAGAGCTGGTCTAAGAACCACCAAATACTTTCGGGTCTTATTCACAAATTCCGAAGTCGTAAAGTACCGCCATTCATTCCTTCTAAATATCTTCAGAAACTATCCCACGAACAAATACAACGCACCACCAGCTCATGCCAGTTGTAGAATGAATTAAGGCAATTTTAAAGACGGTTAAAATTGACATTAATGTCAATGTGTGGCAAAATTGACACAGTTATTTAACTTTTAAACAATGTTTGGACTTGAATTAGTTTTCAGCGACTTCAAAACAATTGGATACAATTTTTTGAGTCCAAACATTGGAAAATAATATTGTTACCGAAACGTTTCAAAAAGTACCATTCCATATGTCGAATTCCGTTTAAATGTTAACGCTTTCGATGGTTTGGGATATGTACAAAATGAAATTTCAGTTACCTTTTAAACCGGTTTTCAATTTATATATTCCGAGTAAAAATAAAAAATTATTTTCAACGTAATATTATTTGCACTTTTGAAAAACAGGAGAAAGCATAAGCAAATTGATTGATAAGCGATTCCGGACGCCAACCGCTACGGTCCCGTATGCCAGTGACGCGGCTCGTCCCGTATAGCGCAGATAACATAAGTCCCGTAAGCTTCATGCATGTTTTATCACGTGGGTGGGGGTGATCTTCCCCAGCTGGATGGTGGGATCTACCGGTGGTTAGAGGGGTTTCCTTCAACCAGGTATCTCCCACCAGCGGGGCACCGAACCACCGGTCTCCCGGCCTGTGCGGTAGAGTAGTGCATGTAAACGTGTGTGTGTGTGTGTGCGTGCGTGCGCGCGCGTGTGCGTGCGTGCGTGTGTGCGTGCGTGTTCGCGCGCGTGTTCGCGCGCGTGTGTGCGCGCGTGTGTGCGTGCGCGCGCGCGTGTGTGCGTGTGTGCGCGTGCGTGTGTGCGCGTGCGTGCGTGCGCGTGCGTGCGTGTGTGTGCGTGCGTGCGTGTGTGCGCGTGCGCGTGTGTACGAGTGCGTGTGCACGAGTGCGTGCGCGCGCGTGCGGGCGAGTGCGTGCGTGTGCGTGCGCGTGCGGGCACGCGCAGCGGTGGCTGTAGGTCAAGGAAGAGAATGGAAAGATCGCGCGCGGTTCGTGGCCCATTTGTTAGTGTACTGCTCCGACATTCGCCTGGTGTCGATCGGGGAAACCACGAAAAACTACCGATCAGAGCAGCTGGCCGCTAGAACTTTCCTCCAGACAGCGACTGAACTTTACTCGGTTATCCAGCTAGTGTCGAAAGTTCTACCATTGTTGGGATTGTAATTCTAGGACCTCCCGGTCAGGGGCTCTGCAGTGATACCAGATGATGCCCTGAGCTACCTCTCCCAGAAATACGTAAATTTTTACTGTTCGTCTTTCCCCACGAGAATGGCGGAGCGGACACGTTTAGACGTGCAAACCTTTCAGGTTGTCTCGCGGTGCAATATATCTTTGGACGAAAATGAAACAAAGTTCTTTAGTTTTGAGGCAATGCGTGCGTCGTTAATAGAAAATGTCTGAAAGGCCGAAAAGAATGTAAATAAACATTTATTAATTCTGACTATCTCCTTTGAACATTCAAAAAATCATCAATTCATTCTCATCAATTTTTTTTATTAAAGTAATTATTCTAATTGTAGTTCAAAATAAAATTATGTAACAAGAATAAATCCGCAAACAAAAAATGAATTAGAAATTTGTGTTAATAAAAATTGTTCCAATGACAAAACTGTATGAATTCACATTTTGTCCGAACAATTTCCACGTAAAATCATATTCCCCGTCAAAGTCACGATTATGACCGACTCCTGTCACACTGTCGAATATGCCTGCATCTTCTACTACACGACACGAGGCTCAAAGGTGCTCAGCAGCACGTTTCAAGGTCGTCCCCAACCGGTCCAGGTTCTTTTTTTCTGAAGTGTTTTGTATGCTCTGCTATATCGGGAGATGCAGTGGGGGAACCCCCACTTTCTTGCATTCCTACGTTGTACGAGATGAAAGGAAACTGTTCCTGTCTCTTGATCCCGCAGCAGATGCATTTTGTCTCTAGAATATAAAAGAAGTAACAAATCAAAACTTATGAACTTTGAGAAATATTAATTTAAATTTTGTTTTTGTTATTTAAGGTCGCATCAACACCTAGGTCATTAGCGCCCCTATTGCATTTAACGGTGTGGTAACTGAAGATGACATGATACGAGTATGGTGATGATAGGGGTGAAAGGACGAACACAAATACAACTACGCCCGAGGCGGGAATCGAACCCGCGATTCTTCGATCCGAGATCGCAACGGCACTATTGCCTTAACGATCTCGGCCATCCGGACCGGCTAAAATATTTTTAAAATGATGTTATCGAAGTTTAATGATTTTCTGACGAGATAATTATATTCATATTTTCCTCATTTAAATGTTGTTTTTTTTTTCATTTCATAACTTGGATGAAGGTTAAATATGTCTGAAATAGGTTAAGATTGTGCTTCAAACGAAAGCGAACTGAATAAATTGTGAGTTACATTGTTTGAACCACGTACGGAAATAAAAGGGAACTCTCTCGTAGATGAAATCCATGTTCAAAGATTATTTTGAGATTAGCAGTGGTTCGTGAAAAAGAGTCTAAAAATCTCTGTAGTATGACATGCTTGAATGCCTTTCACGTGCCAAAGCATTACTTTTCATTTCTTCGTCAGGTCCAAAACAGTTTCTACGTTTTTCTTATAAACTTTCCTCTGTGAGAGATTGCTTTTATAATATTAACCCTGACGAATATTCAATAATTTTAAGGAATGTTAAGAATTGGCTAAACAACTAACCTGATTTAATCTGTCTGATATACATCTTTCAAAACTTGTCATTCCTGTATCAATAATTAAATCAGTATCATAAGAAAAAACTTTTTTGTAAACGAAGAGAAACGCATCAGTACGAAAAGACAGGGGCTAACATCTAAATTACGTTTGATGAAATGAAGAATATATAAAAATACTATTACTACTTTACGATTACTTTTTTTATACATAATGTTTGGCTGTTCAAAGAATTGACTCACAGTTGTGACCAGATGAAAAACGTGAAGATTTTTATTTTTGTTTTGCGAAACTGTCTTCATCAGGCAGCATCACCGCTGTAGCATTGCAGCCTTAGCGATCTCGGCCTTCGAATTAGCAACATATTATTAGTGTATAAATATTATTATTATTATTATTATTATTATTATTATTATTATTATTATTACCATCACCAATCTCACTATAATTAACTCTAGTTTTAACATCACTAAAACGTCACTCATAACAGAGAGAATAAAAACGCTCATTGCAGGAAAAAGACGCTCTTTCAATAGAAATTGAGACTACGTTGGTACAATTTCATAAAAACTCTTGTTGCTAGCGTCATTACACAACTACAGGAAACTGAAACAGCTCCAAGATGTGAAATCGCTTCAATGAACGAACTTACATCATGAACGCAAAGCCATAACATTAAATTAAAACATAAAGATGTTTTGGTCGAGGTTTCAGATATATACTCTCTGGTTTCAGCTTGATTAATGATGCGAGAATGGAATGTGCTCAGAATGCGTGACGAACACTCAGAAAAGAAAAACGGAAAAGTTTGGATGGCACTAATATTGGAAAATAAAATCTAATTTCACATTTCAAATAAATAAAAAGGTCTATAAATCTGTGCAGCATTCTAAAGAAAGTTAAATAATTTCCAAGGCTTTTCTTTCAATAAAGTCAAGTCATGTTATTTATGTATGACACACTATATAAATACCGATGTAAACTAAGTAACTCTTAATTAATCGTATAAATGTTAATTTATCATTTTTATAAATGTAAATACTGTTGGCAGATACAATTTCATTCTCTCGTTTAGTTTTATACGAATAAAAATTTTTAAAACTTTAAACTTTGCAACAATGTTAATGAATACTAAATCCAACTAATTAGTAGTGGTCATAATGGGTTGATTCGCCAAATCTAGACCGATCATAGAGTATGCAGTGACTCCCGGTTAAAGTGAATATTGATTATGTGAAGCGATTTTGTAGTGATAATGACTATAGAATTTAAAAATGAACTGACGCTGTGTAACAGCCATGCGTTATATGAATAAAATAATGTGAATGTATAATCAGCTATCGTTGCTATTAAAAAATATTGGGAACCGCTTGCTGGTAGTGAAGGATGCAACAAGTGCCTTGATGTGCATTAATCATATTAGAATGGAAAAGCTTATTTTGTGAATTTAATTTTGCATTTTACAAGACCTTACGAAAGAGTATGATACTTTATATACTGGATAACTTAACTTTCTTGTAAATTGTAGTACGGTAAAACAATCAACGATGAGTTCACTTGATTGCCAATATTATACCGCCAATTACAGAACGTACAGATTCGTTTTTGCGAGGGGCTGGGTTGCAGCTATATACCTTAGCAGTAACAAAGTACAGATTTTCATTTGGTAATGGGCTCATGGGTTTCTGAAACTAGTATATGTTAATGTTTATTGACCACTGAAGAATTTAATATTGATTTCGAGAAACGGCCCATAATGACCACTATTAATTATTAGTGTTTACTACTAATTAGCATTCAGAGATAACGGCGGACCGTTAATGGAAGAGAGCCAGACCTTTCGATATAGAAAGCGAGAAACACAGTAAACTTTTTGATACAATTTTTTTAAAAATATTTTAGTGTGTCCGGAACGGGTTAATGGATTAACGATATTTATTGTTCGAAATATTGGTTCATTTTTCGAACATCCTGTTTTCATCAGATAGTTAAACACGAAAATCAAAGTTCCGAAATATACATTTTTTCGAATACAATTCTTAAAAACATTCCCCCTGCATCCAAAATCCATTTCCCATGAAATACGTTCACATTAACTAACGTTTAGAGTGACCGAAGAAAATGAATTGTCTGCAATCGTGTTTAATATTCGCAACCGAAATGCTTTTTTCTTTTTCAAATAATACTCTATATTAAATCATGAAAGCATTCCTTAACAGGGGAATTGAAAAAAGTTCACAAATTATTTTGTCAATTATTAGATCTTGGTTAAATTCGTAAATAATGAAAACGAATCTGCTGAAAACTACCTTCTCTTCAATGTATTATCTTTTGGAAAAACTTTGTTTCGTTCATTCACGCTGGGAAATCAATATTATTTGGCGAGATGACCTACGACCTTCAGAAGGTCATAGGACTCTGCATCCAACACATAGTCAGAGCAATTCCGTAACAAAGTATGCGTTTACCTTATCGTTCGACTTGCGTGAATGCGTAACTGCCAATTTTGTTCTACAGCTAATTTGCAAAGATACAGCTGTAGCTGTAATAAAGAAGCTCTTGTATCTATAAGCTTCTTGGTGGGAGATCTGTTGAGAGGCAATTTTCATTACAGGATAACCATTAAGTTTCGTTCCATGAAATTAGAAATGGCCAGTTTATCAAAGTGCACAACTCGTGAGTAAAACTTTGCCGTATATTCAAAACAGCATGATGCAACCTCTATGGACTTTCAAATCCTAGACTTATCTCAGTTAACTTTGATGGCCAGAGGTTTTAATCTTTGTCTTTCCATTCTTACCAAATTATAGTACGTTTATTGTGACACCATCGCATGGTTGTACACCCCTACGGAAAAACAGATTTTATAGCGTTTATCATTTCATATTCGCACACATTACTCTAAACGGTTGTAATCAGTGGCACAAGCAGAATTTTATGGAATGATAGCTTTAGTATTCAAACACCATCATACTTTCTAATAAATTGAATATTCAAACTATTTTTTTACATTAATCTTAAATTAATATTATTATTTGTTAATTTATAGTTATTTGCAGCGAATCAAGTAGAGATATTAAATGACTCATTACTGCAGAAAAATAGTGAAACTATAATTTTCAAGATGTCTCATCGGCGACTTCGTGAGGGGGGAGAAGCACCAGAGTTATAATAATACAATATTATTCATCCAGACTTACATTTTGTAGCTAGAATAAAATTGGAGCACAGTTCTGATCCGAGTTTTTACAAAATTTGAAAAGGTAGCTACAATCATACTGAGTATTCAGGTATTGAATGCGTCAAGAGTACCTATAATCACATTTGTATACATGTCATACCGATAAGAAAGATTTGTTAGTCAATGATACACATTAAATGTTTAACTCTCATATCGTTTGTCAAATTACATGGAAACCGAATATATACAATCAGTGTCCTTGAAAAAAATGAAAGGCTTAAAGAGTCATGCGAGATCCATTCTTTTACTTCGTCAGCGCGATTATATCAAATTTACTTCGAATCATTCATCCTCAGTGAAAGGAATGCGTATAATCGAAGAGGGGAAGAAAGAATGCTAATTGTGTTGAGAGAATCCCCTCCCCACCTTGGGGGGGGGGGGTCAGAGAAACCCAAGACCCTCTGGGAGAAAACAGAATCTTTGCAATTTGGTTTAAAACAAAACTATACTCTTATTTTATTTATTAAATTAGGCATTTGGACGAGAAAATAGATTCACGACTTGGATTTGAAATACACAAATAACACCTATAATTACTTTTTACTAGTTAATTTTGGGATTAATAGTTACAACTAGATTTCATTACGACGAGATAATCTTTCTCTTCTTATGATCCATTAATTTAAAGAGCACCAAGGATATTACTTGAAAATTGAACGAAAGGTTAGGTTTTTTTTTATGAAAATGTCATTTTTCGTACCTTGTATTTTCAAAGTACAACAAATGATGTGTCCCATGAACTTCTTCCCACAGCGTTCGGGACATAAAGCAACAGAAATGTACTGCTCATCTCTCACACATACGTAATTGAATCTGACTTCGAAAAGTGTTACAACTTCAATTGTTGCGAAAGTAAGTAAAGCTGAACGTTTTATTCAAAATATGATTTCAATTCGTTATGTGAAAGCATAATAAACACGCTGTTCGTTAATATAACGTAAGCAGGTGTGGTTCAGTTTGTAATTAAAGAGTAGAGTAGGGGTCTTCTTCGGAAGGTTTGTTAGCCAACATGCGCGTGCTAAGCAGCTAATATGAGAAGTTGTGTTATTCCCAAATTTTCCCAAATGCAAATACGACGCACGATCCAGCGAGATCACAACACCGGTTCACTTTACCGACAGCTACCTCCGCGCAGCATTCACTAGCCTACCTGTGTCGCGAATCTTGTCGGCGGGGACATAATGTACACCGTTGGTGTCCTTGGCGTCGGGGTTGGCGGCGACGCCGTTGGTGCCATTCGCGCCATCGGCGTCCACGGGCACCAGTTGCACCGCCCCTCGCTGCGGTCCCATGCCGACGCGAAGCGAATGGTTAGCACCGGGGATACAGAGGTTGCCTGCGACGGCGGAGCTGGACTGAATGAGTTGGCGCGCGTGGCGAAGCTTTTACCGCACGCCGCCACCGCCACCGC